TGGGGAGGGCTGTTTATCTATAAATCGTCGTGGAAGGCAAATACGCCTCCCACAACGATTCCGGGATTGAAAAAAAGCTCTATATAGCTTTAGTAGCATCATATCTCTGCTTCATCAGAAAAACCAAGTATAATTTATTTAGTATGTTGCTTTAAAGCTTCATTTTTAATGTTGGTTGCCATACAGAAATTCGTGCGGCAGGTGGGGACGTGCGTCAGGTGATCAAGTACGGTATATGGCAAGCCCTTCTTAACATGAAATATAAATACATTAATCTTAGCTGTCCCACGGCCTCCATCTACAAAGAAGTTTTTTTTAAAAAAAAACACCAAATATAAATAAAACACAAAGAATATATATCAAGATAGGGAGACTCTCCAAAATATTCACAGAGCTGCTGTATAATCTCAGATCTATTCCATCTATTTACTCCTACCGCCTTGAAAATGTCTTCCGAGATAGGGAGACTCTCTCCAAAGTATTTATAGAGCTGCTGCATAATCCTAGATCTATATAATCTATTTACTACTGCCGCCTTGACCATATCTAGAGAGATAGACTCTCTCTACATTACTGTAATAGATATCTCACTTGGTCTCTATAGTCTTCTTTCTCTAGTGCCTATATTATTATAGGCCTAACAATAAGTGTAATAATGCAAACGTTACTCTGTTGGCCATCTTGTCTTTCAAGTCCAGTTTCCTCAAATTCAGGAAAAGATATTCAGCCGTTTTGAAGGTTTTCTTTCATAAAAAAGCGGGCAGGTTGTGGTGGGCGGCAGACTGACAGAGCAATAAAAGCCGTTGTCGGCGCCCCGCTAAGCGTGTCAACGGATACTAGTTGAATGTACACTATATAAATACTATATTTAAAGCTAATCTGTATATAAGGAATGAACTTATAGTATTGTGACCCAGCAGCATCCTGTACCAACGATGAAAGGCCCAGGGTACTGATGACGAAATGGAGAAGTCACAAGACGAAGATAGAAGGCAACTATCATCATAAATCTGACAAACAGTGCCCCAAACTGGATACGAAAAAAAAGTAGTTGAAGTTCCGCACTGGTAACGCCCAAGATTGAGCCCATAATACTTGGTATAAAAAGGGGGCTTCCCCATGCTAAAAGTCCTTTGTCGCCGAGAGTTTCTTTGCTGTTAGGCTCTAGCACCTTTAGTCACTGTGACTGTACTGACAATCGTAGCAGCTATTAGGACTGTCTGCGCAAAATCGACATATTGCTGGAACTTGAATATCTGGTGCTGGTACTTTTCCCTTGCTCCGCATTGTTTTCTTTGATAGGCGTTGCTATCAGCATTTGATGTTGTAATGTTGTTGTAAATTACTGCTGCTGAGATGATTAATCCGAGCAGTTGGGAGTGTATTTAGGGCATGTGCCTTGCTAGGTATTCTGTCGTGCTATTCTGCGAGTCGGTAAATGTTAAATAATATCTAGCGTGCCAGTCAGAGCAGCGTATTCTTCTTATAACTCTTGGCAAAGGCCCAGGTTGTTAGATCTTCTCTAACCTAGGTTAGACTTCTAAAGCAATATGTTCACATACTGTGAAGACATTCATTAGAGATTACTTAAATCTCCCTCTTTGATTCTTCTCCTTGATTCGTGTTATTCTGACTGCCGATACATATATTTTACTGTAACCTCCCGAAAGACTAGTCATCCGACCTTTGACAATTAAAGTTTCGGTACGGTAAAAGATCATATGATTTTTAGTCAATACTTTCACAATAGTCTAGAATTAGTAGAGTGCTTCGAACTTACGGCTGAAGCAGCGAGCCGATGTTGCAACCTCATCCTCCTCTATCAGGAAGCCGTATAACTCAAACCCAGAAAAACATTAATATAGGTTTTGTGGGATGTAAGTTAAAGAATTGGCATTCAATAATGATTTGGGACTCCTCTATGTCTATCATATGATCTGCTTAGACCTATTAACATAGCCAAGTGAAAGAGTATGCTAGTATTGGCTTATGATTCAGAGACGCTGTGTGGAGCCTCGCAACGCGTGGATGTGCTACCTTACGACCTACTTGCTATCAACATTATGGAAAACAGTATAGCTTCTTTCGTTTTGCTGTTTTCTTCTAATCAACCATAGATTGTAGAACTGTTGACCGTAGCAGATATGGTGGGTGACGAGATCAAATAATGCTACCAAACAATATATTATAATCGCTACCGTATGTGTCTGTGCTGATTTGGTAAGACTGAACGTTGTTATCCTTTCATGCATGTTTACATATATGGGCCATTCTCTGTGAATAAAGTCGGCTTCGTCAAGGCCTGTGGTGATCTATTTCCCTTGTCTCCTGATATATTTGGGGCCTGGAAGGTAATTGCGAAGCTGGACTTTTATAAATGTATCTGTATATCGAAGATAATCCTGGGAAACATAGCTGTACCATTTAAGTCGATAGGCATGCTGCTTTATAACTTATAGGAATCTGCCCCTTGTTATGCGTATTCCTGCATTAGGTTAGGTGCATCGGCTCAGCTTTCGCGGTAAAGAAATGTGCCATTCTAATTGTCCTTAACCTTCAATCCACAGGATATCTTGTTTCGAGGCTTTCCAAATATTCTCATCCACGGATAAGCTATTTTGCCCGGCGGAAATAGTTCTTGACTATAATGTTAGCTTATCAGTTTTCTATACAGTGCGAATATCAAACCTAGTCGTTAATAGGATACCTTTTGCATGTAGCTGTATATTAAGGTTAATTTTGTTCAGATGTAATAAACATAGCCATGCTTGATTATACTTGTCCTTGGTCCACTGTATGAGCGAGCACTGGAAGGCTTTGCTTGGGGTTATAGCCCAGTCTATCCCCTGAACTGTCTGGGAGTGGAACTATATCTCTCTGCCCAGTAAAATGACCTTAAGCTATGACAGTTTCCTGGATCTTTTCTAGGGCCCAGACAATATATCATCGTGATGAAATTACAGTATTTGGTTAATTGACCAATTATATTGATTAGCGTAAAGCTTAACCCCCCCCTTTCCACGAGATTTCTTTTCCGGCGCTCAATAATGTCCACACTAATACATCATGAGATCAGTGCTATCATATGACTTTCCGACATATGCAGGTTGCTTATTAAAATATCGCTGTTAGGAACTGGTATCCGAGTGATTGTTCTATTTCTCTCCTAATGTATGACAATCACAGCCAATATCCTGTAGCAGTGAATATCTTTTTCGATCTTCTAATTTCCCCGCAAGGTCCACTAAATCGCGATGGATAACAGAAAGCCATTTGCTGGCAAAGTGGTAACTGTAACTGGGGCAGCACATGGGATCGGTCTGGCAACAGTTTACTACCTTGTCTCTCGTGGTGCCACAGTCTCCATGGTAGACATTGTTGCTAAAAGCGCTCTGGAAAAGGTGGAGGAGAAAGTTTTACAAGAGTTTCCTGACGCCAAAATTTCCCATAAGACAGTCGACGTCAGGGACAGAGAGTCAGTCGAAAAGTGGATCGAGGATACTAAGGAGATATTTGGTAGAATTGACGGTTGCGTAAACAATGCTGGCAAGTGATATCTATTTCGATCGAATGTTTTCCTATAGATCTGACCAAATGATGTAGGAGTTGTGGGTCACGAATACAAGCCCATCTCGGATGTCTCAGAGGAGGACTGGAATTACGTGCTCGATGTCAACTTGAAAGGGGTCTTTAATTGCCTACGTGCAGAACTACCAGTGATTGAAGACAATGGTAGTATTGTGAATGTTGCTGGGATTGCCGGCCAGTTTGGTTTTGTCAACATGTCGCCATATGTCGCTTCCAACCATGGGATCATCGGCTTGACCAAGTGCGCTGCAAAGGAAATTGCAGAGAGGGGAGTGCGGGTTAACGCAATCTGCCCGTATGTTTCATCTGATGCTGTAGTCGTTTAGCATTCTTGGATTGCTAACTCGCTGTTAGGGGCGATATTAAAACTGCACTTATGCACGAAGAGAATAGAAAGTCTCATGGAGCCTTCGCCCCCAAGCATGCGCCTCAGCTTTTTAAGCGATACGGTCATACTGAAGAAGTGGCCGCATTAATTGCCTTCCTTCTTGGAGATGAGAGCAAATTTACGACTAGTTCGACCTACAATATTGATGGCGGATGGACTGCTTGAATCCAAATGAACCTTCCGAGGGGGGTTAAAAAGAAAATAAAAGTAAAAAAGAAAACAGACAAGTGAAATCTTTTTCTCGGCCGTCATAATGTTGTTCCCAAACTGTGCAGGTCTATAGGCTTGACCTGAAATTACGGAACTCGCATGCAAGAACGGGACTGAACCATTTATGTTGCTCATTCGGGTGATCGCGAGAGAATAGCATACCGCAATTAAATACAAAGATCATATCTTGTTAACTGTGAAATAACAGCGGCCCTCATGATATCCTTAGGAACTGTATATATTGTTATGCTCGTAGATGAGACTTCTCTAAAGAAAGACGGATTGTCCACATGCTGGGTGCTAAAAGTCAACTACTACACTCCGAAGGCGTACTGCCTGCTAGATTATATACACCAGAGGAGCCCTTATACCGACCCGAATGCAACTCGAGATATCACTCGCCTTAAACACGTATAGATGTTGAATGTAGTATTTCCTCGCATTAGTTATGCTTCCAGGAATACCGGCGCTGAAGGCCGCTGTTTCGATAGTATTAGGCATGGGAAAATCTACGCCAGACGGAATCCGAAAGCGACCGTGTAACATGATCAAGGCTCGACATCGTGGGATAAAGACATACATCTCGCTGCAATGGGAATCCCAAGAGACGAGAACAACCGTGGTGCCCTTACCAGCAACTTATTTGAGAGGATGTTTAAAGGCTACCTCCACTGATCCTTTACCAAACTAGTCCCACGATTTCCAAATCATGACTCCGCTATAGACGTCATCTCTGGCTCGGATATCTCCCTTGGAATGATACACACCAAACACTACTTTTCCCACTAGATCCTTCTCCGGCAGCGCATATAGGTAGTAGTCATCCTTCCCAAATTGATTCATCTGGATCCTTTGCCACTGGCGTCGATGAGCTTTCTGCCTCTGACTGAAATACTCGCTCCCCAAGCTGTACTCCATCGTCTGCATTGGTGGGATGCCCGCACGGTCAAGCGCTTGTGAATAGACTGCCAAGATGTGCTGGGCTCCATTGTGGCCCAGGCCATAATAGGAGTTCCGATGCCACGCGCTGATAGACCGGAGGCTTGGAAACTCCTGTGGTTTAAAGTCCCGAAACATATTCTCAAAGTCTCGCTGATCCGCCTCAGGGGGACAGCGAGACGCGAGGATCACGACATCCTGAATAGAGACGGGGAGGGTTTGTGCGAAGGGCAGCCACCCACCATCCTCACGATTGCTAAATAAATCGATGTCAAGGGTAAGACGTTCCAATTGGGTGAATTCATTCCACTTCCAGTTCGTCGTGGGAGGCGTGTGTGGGTTAGTAGACAAATAGGGACTATGTAGATCCCAACAGGGCTCATGTCGACAGCCGCAAATTGATCCATATTCCATCAATTCGATATGAAGATGTTGTAACGTCGACTTCGCGTGCGTTAATAGAGCTAGGCATACCGCCTCCACGGTCATGTCCGGCAGATGCGGTTGGCATAGCTCGCCGTTGAAGCGTATCCCGAATACTTCTGGTGTATGGAAGACCATATATTTGAACTGCTTGAAGTTAGAGCATCCCTCAATAATTCGGGACAACGCTCGACCGGAGATATTTCCACGATCGACAATCATTGACTCGAGTTCTGATTTTGGGAGCGGCAGAGGATAGGCTGGGTCCGTAGCATCGTCCCAATCAACGGCGATCGTGTTTCCGCCATTCTGCCACACTGGCTGTGAGTAATAATCCATCACAGACAGATACCGAAGACCGGGTAGTCGAGCCAACGCAGCCAAGAGGCGGATGATCTGCTGGTAATGATCGTCGGCCAGGACTGCCTGTGGCCTTTGCTCTCGTTGGTCCTGACTACTTCCTGCACTACTCCCTCCATCCTCGTACTCATCCTCATCCTCACCTTCATATGACGTGCATTCAATTCGCACCTCCGCTAATACCGACAAGGCCTGGTCGAGGAGTCCCTTCTGTGACCTTGCTGCTAGTCTACTCACTGCCCGAGGGACATAGGGCGTAATTGGGTCTTGCGCGCATACATCTAACTGCATCCGCTTCAGCTCGGTGAGCTGGCTGAGGAGCAGGCCTAATGTAGCTCCCCCAGCCCCATTAGACACCGCATGCATCCAATCGCATATTTCGTCCTCCTCGATGAGAATAGGTGATTGTTGAAGAAGCCGTTTGGCCCACTGGAGGCCAAGTTCCCAGGGTATATTTGGGCGGTCCTGAAAGTCCGACTCGTGGGGTACCAGCTCCTCTACATACCGGGCCAGGCGGGGACTTCGAGCGATGTCAACCAACAACTGTGGAGCACCAATGCTGAACGCCTGATCAGCTTTGTGGTATCGAACGTTTGCGGGCGTTGCGAAACCAGAGTCTTGTGATAGCCGTCGCGTGTACGTGTCATGTTCTCGGAGGTGTCCGCGACAGGCTTCGCTAAGATGTTTACAGCTTAATGATAGAGAAGGTAAATCTCTGGGAGAAGCATGGTCTATAATCTGCATCTGCAACTCATATGGTAACAGAAGGAGCATTTTGCGTGACGGTAGAAGGATTTCAACAAATCTCCATTTCTTAGATTTTCCTTCGTGCAAGTCTTATCGTCTTTTTTTCCGGCCCGAGCCTGTACAGCACGACCCACCGATAGAAGCCCGGGTTATGTTGAAACGGACAGATTATGTTGCGTGAATATTTGTGATGGTTAATACAAAGATGCCGCCTATCTTTTGATAGTGCCAACCTTATTGCCTTACTTGTTCAGTCAGCACAGAAAAGGTAGCTCTCACTGTCCGAGAGAGAGATATTTATATATATATATGACTTTTGAAATTTTGCCCAGTCACAGATTATGTATTGTCAAATGATCATGTACATTGGTTGAATTCCTTGATTGGATTGATTATGTTGCTTTAATCTTACAACATGACTGTGGGAAGAAAATCGCTTAGGAAGAACAAAAGCGCTAGGCCTAACTAGGCAGCTTTAACTTATATTATGTCTAAATTGGGGTCTCCATACCACTACTCAATGTCCCGACACTGCACAGACCCCTGCTAGTGGCTAAGCTTATTCACGCTAGAAATGAAAAGTCCCGGTAAAAATATAAGAAATACGCTATAGACAAGTCTTCGTTGTTATGGTTTTTTTATTTTTTAAATTTTTTTTTTTTTTCCATTTCATCATTATTTGTCATGTGCACGGTCAGAGAGTTCTCTAGCTGCTTCAATTATGTAACTAATGGCTACTCGGATCTTGGTTTACTAGAATAAGTTGATGTTTGATGCTGGGAATTGACCATAGATTTATTCTTTGACTTTTGCGGGGAAGGCCCACTTATGCCTTCCGAGCCAATCGGATTTATGATTTCCACTTTGGGAAGTTCGGGGGGATACCCTCCGATTGTCCGATGCTGTGGATTCTTCACCCTTGACTTCCATAGATGCATCGTGGGTTCATGCAGAAACTGCATGAGAGAGAATTTTCGCATTACACCGGTGTATGTATGTTATATGGATCAGGCGACGAGTGATGGACTTGGCCGGTGTCACCATTGGTGGCTTTCACATATACCACAGGGGGTAGGCAATCAAGACGTTTAGTTTGAAGGAAATACGAACCTTTTCATAGAATGTCTGTCGCAATATGTATCCATGTATTCGAACCCTTACCGATGGGACCAACTGAAATTGCCGCCAAGGCATGATACATGACTCAATTTAACTTTTTTTTGTTTAATTTAACTATTATTCTTGTCTAGTTGCTTGGTATCACGGAGCCTCTCACGAATCGGGTAATGGTGTCCCGAAGGCACCCCGCGAGGTCGGACTTCCCGGGGGAACTCCGGGCAGTGGGGGATGAATTCGAATTTCCCGGGGTATGGACCCTAAATATTTCACCATGGCCAATTCATCCTCTGCAATGTTGTTAGTTTCCAATACACCACCACCAACATGGAGAAACCAGCGACACACCACCTCAAGGACGATGGCGCCAGTTCCCCTGTACCCGGGGGCAAGTACGACTTGGAAGTGCAACTCGAAAATAAAGACAATGGTTCAATTGATGGGAATTCATTGACCGAAGACCACCGACAGTATTTGCTCCAGCGTCATGGGACTGTGGACCTCGACCCGATGCCAGATATGACGGATGCGGACCCCTATAACTGGCCGACCTGGAAGGTACAAAGCCTCCCTGGATGCAGAAATGGATAACACTGGCTAACTCTTTGAATGGCATAGAAATCCCTCAATCTGGTAATGGTCGCGTTCCATGCCATGATGGCAACCTTCACCGCGGCCGCGATCCAGTCCGCCTTCGGGGATATAGCGGAAGACCTCGGCGTCAGCGTTCATCGAGCAAGCTACTTGACCTCCCTGGTCATTGCGGTCCTGGGTGCTGCTCCTCTGATTTGGATGCCACTATCGAATCGATACGGACGACGTCCCATCTTCCTTCTGTCGCTGATATGCAGTCTGGTCGGCAACGTGGGCTGTGCGAAGAGCTACTCCTATGCGACCATGGGATTATGTCGGGCCATCACCGGCTTCTTCATCAGCCCTCCGGCAGCAATTGGTAGTGCGGTGGTAGCCGAGACCTTTTTCAAGAAGGACCGGGCTCGATGCATGGGGGTATGGGCCGTCATGGTCACCGTGGGGGTGCCACTGGCGCCCTTGATCTTTGGGTTCGTTGCCGTTCGGGTTGGATATCGATGGATTTACTGGATACTAGCCATTGTTTGTGGACCGCACCCGCCGTCTGAGAGATTGCTAACAGTCATAGACGAATGGTGTTCAATTCCTGTTGTACTTTGCCTTTGGCTCCGAGTCACTTTATATCCGTGGCGACACTGCAAAGGCTCCGGACTCATTGCTGCACCGATTCTTTCCATTCAAACGCATTGATATGACTCCCCTTCGAGTATGGGATTTCCTTCAACCCCTTGCAATGGCCGCCCGTCCTTGTGTCATGATTCCCACCGCCGTATATTCTATGGTCTTCCTCCTCGCAAGCATCTTCCCCTCGCTCGAGATCCCTCAAATATTCCCAGAGTTGTATCATCTGGACACCCAACAAATTGGGCTCCAATACATAGCAATGGTCGTTGGCTCAATAATTGGGGACCAGATCGGTGGAGCTATATCAGATCGGTGGATGTTGTACCGAGCGAAAAGGACAAACCACTCGGTTGCCCCCGAGTATCGACTATGGCTGAGCTACCCCGGCCTGATCCTGTCTATAGTGGGCATAATAGTCTTCCTCGTACAGGTCAATAACGCTTCATCTCACTGGACTATAACTCCGCTAATTGGCGTTGCCATCGCCGCTGTCGGGAACCAAATCATCACCACCGTCAATATCACCTACGCCGTGGATTGTTATCGATCGGAGGCGGCCAGCGTTGGGGTCTTCATCACCTTTGTCCGTCAGATCTGGGGCTTTATCGGGCCTTTTTGGTGAGTCCACTTTCGGTTCGGGGAAGAAGCAACCGATCACTTGCTAATGTTTCCATTCTAGGTTTCCGGAGATGCTGAAAAGTGTGGGTTTTCTTGGGTCCGCTGCGATTCTGGTTGCCATGATAGTCGCGGTCAGCGTTATTCCGACACTCTTTTTGCAGTGGAAAGGGCATACATGGCGGTAGATCCGATATAGTCCATTTTGCGTTTATGCCAATATGGAAGGGACTTGGAAACCATACTACGAGGTGCAACATCCGTGTGACAAGGGATAGCCTGTGTCCTCCGATTTGTGCGGGACGGTTTTGAAAGGTACATGTTTTGATAGTTGTGGATATATAGATATAGATATATACGTTTAATTCTTTAGAATAGAAGGGGAAAGCCCAATGGAACCCAGGATTATGGATGTATTTGGCACGGCGATGATACCTCGTTCCGGATCATGAATTAAACTAGGTAAGTGTCAGTTAAACCGAAACTGAGCCTAGAGAAGAACAACTCGTTTAATCCTCCCATATCTCCACCAATCTCGGTCTTACATAGGGCAGGGACGGGCCATATTTGGGCGGATCCTCTTGCATCTGTCAAACTGAGATATCTAAGGATATTTCGTTATGGAATATTGTAAACACGACGACTGTTGGTGGGACGGACGCGTAAGATGACTCTTGTACACTATCCATAAACCCTCAATGATGGTTAGCATCTAAGCCAGGACACCTCTGGATACACGTGCTAAGGTTCCAGATAGCCAATATTTAAGAGTCCACATCCATTCTTTGTAACTCAGAACAGTGTGGTCGAGGTCTAGCTCTGTAGTGATTTAAAAGTATTACTACAGGTAATAGATAATTAGTAATAAAATAGACAATTGAAGGTCAACACCATAACCCCCTCGTTACTTAGATCTAAGTTTACCACTTGTCCGATCTAGATATGAAGCGTATAATAGCTGTAGATATACCATATTACTAGTAGCTCGATAGACTTAAAAACCAATAATATATGTTTAAAAACATATCTTATATAATATCAGTATAAGAGCCCCTTTGTAACGGAGTGATTTCTGAATGGTTTCTGCCAAAGTCTTACACCCGACCCCTTCACCCACGGGTTTCGGTAAGCTTGATCACTTCTTTGTCACCGTACAGACTTGCTCGATATCAGTGGAAGGAACCTTATCTGCCCGCTCCACTAGGACCTCATTGATGGTAACCTTAGTATCGCCAGCAGTCGCGTTAGTGAGACCCGTGAAGGAGATTGTGAGCGTCTCTCCAAGAGGTTGAATTTCCTCCTCGGTGCAGATAGCTTGGAACCTAACGGTGCCATTTGTAGAATTCGGAATACCCGAGCCAGTCAATTTGAATCGCTTTGTGTCGGAAATAGCTCGCACGATCCCATTCCCAGTGATTTTGCCCTTTTCCACTGTAGGCGCTTTGAACAGGTCGCCTTCAGTATCACCCAGATTGAACTCAATGCTGAGAAGTTTGACTTTGAGGCTCTTGCCAGATTTGTCAGATACCTTGATGTCGACCTTGGCCTCTTTGGAATCAACCGAGATGGTTGAAGTAACATCGTAACTCAGAAGAGGCGTGGGGGGTTCGGGCAAATCTTTCGTGAATTTGGGAGCCATCTCTTGGATATACTTGGTAGCCTCATCCGGGGGAGGAGTGCGTTTAGACTCGAGGACCTCCCTGTTTTATAGTTAGTCACAAACAGTCACACCCCACGTGGGCTAGTAGCGATACTTACGAGACGATCGTCAAGATAATCCCAACGGCTGCCAACACTGCCCCTGCAATGGGAATTGCCATCACTTCAACCTCCATGCCGACCAATACCAACTCGGTGATTTCAACCAATGTCTGGGCGGCCGTTGTGGCCAGGGTAAGGATATCCAATGCCAATATACCAACATTCTTCTCGTACTTCCACTCAGTCGCGATCTGAATTCCCAGACCCGCCGCCACCGCGGCATTGGCGACAATCACCACTGCCTGTACAGCCATACGCCCGACTTTCGCACTGAGCTTGAATCTGCGCATGACCTTCTCCTCAATCGCGGGATCTGCAACCACCTCACCCATCTGGACTTCCAGGGGGCGTCCCTCAGCCTCGGGATTAACATGGGCCAGGGAATGGTCCTTAAAAACCTCCATTTCAATCTCCTCGACCTGGACCTTGACTCGGGGTTTGGAACCGCCCAGTCGTCGATTGAATCTTCTGGTGCCTTTACTGATCTCCTTTGCATCGGTGGGATGTTCTTTGAACAGCAACAATAAATCTGCGGCGTCCGCGATCATCCTCGTAACGCTCTCCACGATTTGGATAATGGCTTCGGCTTTGGCGATATCGGAAAGGTTGTCCCATTTGTACAAAAACTTGGCTGCATTGTAGATCTGGAACCCTTGGCCGCTGCACACGCAACAAGTCAGCAACCTCTTCTACTCAAGAACATATAGGTATTCCAGGGTCGCAATGGAATACTTACACAATACTAATTATGCCAAGAACACTGCCCAGTGTCCGCGGGTATTTCTGATTAAGCTTGTCGTACTTCTCCTTGATCTTTGTTGCGATTTTCGGCATGAACGACACCCCCCCTTTACCTATTAGCCCTCCGAGCTCACGAATGACCTCCGCGATCAGCCGTCCCTGCAGACTCTTCAGGCCAAAAGTGCGTTCTGCCGCCTCCTTTGCATTCCTAGTACCATACTCCGATAGCAGCTCTTCGATATCCAGCAGAAGTTGCTTCTTCAAACTGTTGGTGATTTTGCTGTCGCGTGATAACACTTGTATGATCAGCTGCTCCATGAACTTCGTGGCAAATTCGGGCCACTCGTTCTCATCAATGGGTCTACCCTCGTAGCCGAGCATAGCCATGCTTTTGTCCCGTATGAGCTTCCACAGTTGAAGGTCATATCGGCGGTTGTCCTTGTCGATTGCCTCCAGCACCATGCAGTGCTTGTTGACAAGGTTTCGGCCATTGCTACTTATGTCAGCCATCCTGAACAATAGTGATTAAGCTCTTGGGTATAGTCATACATGAGAGACATGATAAGGTTATTCAACATCGCATCGGTCGTGACGGACTCGAAAAACTCCTTGGCCCAGTCACGGTCATCGTTCACATACGCCTCCAGGTCAACGCCGTTGCGAGTGACCAGGTCTTTGAAAGCAGCGCCTGTCGCGAGAGTAGTGATGTGTCCGAATTCTTGTTTGTGGGCGAGACATGATTCGGCCTATCAAACATTAAAATTGTCTGGTTAATTGAAGAACGAACCCCCACAATAGGGTAGAGAAACCTACCTTTCCCTTCCACCAGTACGTCAACTTCTTTCTTTCACTCTCACTGAAGTTCTTGCCGTAGTGATCATTACCGGACAAACTGTACAGATACAGCGCCCGAGAGTATATCTCTAGAAACTCCTTATTCTTAGTCGAGAGCTGACTCTTCAGCACAGATGGTACGATATCAGAATTCGCCAGCGAGCCATCTCCGAACACCTCTTTTTCTTTGGAGCCCTTCCACAAACCTGCGGCAGCCATCACGTAGTTCTGACTGATGTTGTTCAGGGTCATCGGGTCTGGTGCTTCCAGGAGCTGGAGCTCAGTCACGGAGCGCTTGGGTTCAGTAGCAGACAACAGTACGTCGGCCACCGGAAGCGGTCGGGAGTGGATATTGGCAGACGGGGTGTATAGATCGCAGGTCAGGGCGAGATTCATGGCAGCAAAGGGAGAGTGATTGACTGCGTCGATTACGGCTTGTTTTATGACGTGATCGTTCTCTGCATGTGCTGTATAAAGGGCGTGTAGGGCACCGCGCTTGGTCGTGTCTGATGAAGGCTCGTAGTAATATCCGTGCATTTCACCTGTCGCTAGGTTAATGCCAGCGCTGAATGAGGCAAATACTGGCGGCTTGGGGCCTTTGTCCTCTGTCCAGCCGTCCAAGAACGTGCGCAAATCATCCTGTCCTTGAGCGTCAATGCTAACGTCGATAGTCAGGATATTTTGGAGGTTGATGGCGAGGGTTGATTCATAGATCGAGTCCTCACCCGTGCCAAACTCGTTGTCTAGTGCAGGAATAGCGACAACTGGAATAAATGCACCTTGGCCCTGCTTTTCTAGCCCAGTCTGGATAGTCCAGAAGGGGTTCCATTTCTCTCCCACCGCGGGAACAGCTTGGTTTGCTTCACCCTCTTCTGTGAATGTCTTCTCACTGGAGAGTACATTGTAGGTATTAACATTCTGCATGCCTACAACGTGGACGATGTCTTTCCTTGGAAGTTTGGTATCATGGGCCGCTGAGTATTCCGAGGTTTCTGAGCTCCCCTCAAGCTGGTATGTAATCGAACCTGTGACCACAAGGCTGTCGGAAGAGACTTTCAGTGAACAATGTTCCCACATTCTCGGGGAGTCAGGAAGTTCTCGACTCCATTTGATATGTTCATGTGAGACATCGGCATATTGAATCAACTGAGAATCAACCATCACCGCGCCGTTATCGATGATCACTTTACAAATATGCGTTGTCTCTTGCGGTGAAAACGAGCTCAAGTCTCTAGTATCCTTTACTTCATCATGGCGGAATAGAATAAACTCAGCACTCGTGGAATGCGCTGCGATACGCGCTTCTCTAATCCTTCTCTGTGATTGCTGATGAGCGACCTCAAGGTCCGCAAATGGGGTGGTGTGGTCGCGGGTTAGTGAGGTTTGGAATGTGTTGAAGATGGGACCGAAGAGCTGGGATATGTTTTCGGGTAATGATTTGACCTTTTTATCGTATGTTAGGTTAGCAACAGTTTCTATTGAAGGCGAATGTATCGGGTCAACTCACAGATTCAATGACGCCTTTCTGCTGTCTGATTGACATATCAGCCAACCGGTCAGAAATCCGCTTAATGGTCACCTCTGGGTAATTGGCCGCCACCAGGTATCCGTTTGCATGGTATCTCGCTCCTGCATGTCCCTGGCGAAGCTGCAAGCCATACACCCAATCTCCTGGCGCCGTGGCCACGGTAAAGGACTGGATAACGGTCTTGGTATATGTGCGTGCATTATGGTCAAGACGTTGCAGCACATCTCCAACTCCTAACTGGGACACAACAATTGAAGGATTCTCGATTCTGGCGATACTGGGATCAATAGCTTTGGGTCCGGTTGTTGTGAAGAACACATGGCCAGCAGTGACGAAGGGCTGTTCGCCGTTGAAGCCATACACTGTGGCCTTGGGAGCAGAAGGATGTTCACCATTGAACGTCGGTTGATAGACCTTCTCATCGGATACCACGCCTATTGTCATCAGCCCATATATCGGGTAGTGTAACAATTCAGCACTGACCGTATTCGCCTGGAGCCTTGGTCAGGACCTTCGTTCCGGCCTGTACAACTTCAATATCCACCTCACCCCGATCTGTCTGAATTTTCGTCCCTGCAACAAAACACGCCATGGGCATACCATCACCATTGCGAACGTTGGTAGGTTCTCTTCCCGTGAACATATCTGGATGCTGGGCCTCTTTGGACCTAATCCAACCCCGAAGCTGGTCTCCATACACAATCTGTCCGGGAATAGTCCTCGGAGGTAACCTTCCCATTCCCGGAGAGTACGTATCTGGGAGGTGTTTCACTGTACTTGCTAACCGTTCCACCAGAGAATTCCATTGCGGGTCAGTGCGCCAAGTGAGTGAAAAGACTCTTCCGAGACTTGGAAACGATGGGCCGTGCAGTACGTGCTCGTCTGACCAGTGAACTGGCAGCGAGGTATCGAGAAAGGATCCAACGAGATCCTTTTCCAGCAGAGTGTGATGCTGCTCCGCATGGGGTGACCAGTGTGTCTGCACTGGCTTCTTGACTATATTGCTATGAGATGACGTGGAAAGGAGAGTCTTTCTTGCCCGTTCATAGATATATGCAATTGCCTGGGGGTAAGCCCACTGGCCCCTGGCATAAATCGCAATGACGGTGTTATTGATGAACTCTGGGTCCAGAACGTGGTCTACAAAAGCCGTGCAAAAGTCGGGATCCTTTTCCAATTCCAGAAGATCGAACTTTTCCCCTGCGTGCCGATGGACGGCTTCCTCGAGGAAGTTACGATACATTATATGCATGATAATCGAGGCTGTTCTGTCCATCTTTGGTTCAATACCGCTCTATATAACACTTAGTAAATCTCTGCCCATTCGAGTCATGTTCAGAACAGATGGGTTGATATACCGCGCTCACGGTCGCATTAAATCCATAGGATGAAGAGCGAGACAGTCCCAGTACAAGGGTCTGAGTCTTGAGCAGGTCCAACGCGTTGTCGATCGGCGTCTCACTGTAAATCTCGGAGGGGCCCGGATTCAGCGCACCGAAGTCATCAAATTGCAGGTGAGACTTTAGGGTATCAACATAATGTTGGTTTTCAAAAGTCTCCAGCTTTGTCAAAGCTTCCACGACTTTAATGACTTTACTTTGCGCCATCCTGGACGGACAATGATCACAGTAAATGATGCAAAATGATGATGCTAACTAGACAGCCAAGTTTGGTTTCTGATGATAGAAAGACCAGAGCTGAATGTCGAGGGATTATCCGACCTTAAGAATGTTATGAACACAAGGCAAAGCAGTGAACCAAGATACGACGCTATACCACAATTGTCATTTAAAGGGTCACTACGAAATATTTCCGGATTATTGTGATGAACCTGCAGTCGCGTTACGACCATTATATCTGGTGATCGACAGCTCTATCCATAACTGGATATGAGTGGCAGCGAGGGTTGCAGCAGCTGAGGGCGATGCCAATCCTTCGCGAACTTCTCAGATTCAGCCATCTCGGTGGTCTTCAATGAATGGTATATTCGCCATGTCCACTGCGGCTGATAATCCCCACCTCGCCTTAATCAAATATACAGGGCAGCCAAAGACCTTACTGCTATCTTACTATCCAGTATACGTCACCTCCATTCTCCCCCCAGATCACTTCACAACTCAAATATTGAAGTTTCTGGTCGATCTTGATAGATAGGGTATGTTGTGTGCACGGATTATGCGTGATGACGACTGTGAGTTTTCACTGAGTTGACTAAATAGAATAGTTATGCAGATCGGTGATCAGATAACATCATCCACGAGGTTGAGACCAATTGTCGCTACACCACCGAAGATCATTCAATCATACCATTGTCATCCCACATTTAATCTCTCCCCATAGTCTTCGGCAGAATATCACCAGTGTTAGACAATCACCCGGATAGGTTTACATCACATTTGCATTTGTCCTCTACAACTCACCTAAATCTTGCACCATGTCAGTCGATCCGCAGGTCATGTCCTGAGGAGCCTCTCTAGGAGGGAGAGAACGGGATGGTCCACTGCACGCCAAGAGAGAAAGGCAAATCCCAGAGGCAACCACATCGAGTATACTGCATACTGCGGCGGGACAGCGGGCTGCAGCGCGCCCGTAGTGGTATCCCAGACTGTGGTGGCATTTCTGGGTGGTTCGTCAAGAACCATTCCTTCGCACGTCCGGGCTTGTCCAGATAACGAGTACGATTGGGTGGAGAGGAAATTAGAATTCTGAAGGGGGGCTGTGAAATCCCAGCTGAAGAAACCTTCGTGCCAGGTTTTTTGGTCTTCCGGCGTTACAAATTGGGATCTCATTGGTTCAGTCTCATGGAGCTGGAACCACCGCTGCGGGGAGCTCCATAAATCCATGCGTTGCGAACCTGCCACATTTTCACCCTATGAGGCGTAACGAACAGCAGCGCCCGGTTGGGGCCACACTTTCGGTTCCTCCTGTTTATTAGTGACATGACAGATGTATCGCTGATCCCGCGTCGCGCGATGTGATAATATCTCACCTTTTTCAGACTTCGAAGTCATGACTAAGTACCTCGGACGCCTTTCCTATCTACAGCCTATTATGTAGTTGTAATAGGACCAGTAAGCAGGAATTGAAACCATTCCAACATAATATTACGTCCAGGCTATATTTGAAAAGTGCAAGAGATTTAGCGTACACAGCTATTAGTAGACTTCAGCAGAACGCATCTTGGATCTTAGGGCTGGGGCCAAAACCCACTTATATATAGATTTTACGTCTAATCTAGTATAATCCAATCTAGCCAACAATGTATATAAAAAATCTCTCGCGAGGCCATGGCCGAATTTAGTCATACCCCTGCGAGGTTGTAATTAACTTTGATG